ATGTTGCAGTCAAGATAGGGTGGGTCACAGGCCCAAGAGTATGCAATGTTACTTGCAGTCAAGATAGGGTGGGTCACAGGCCCAAGAGATGCAATGTTACTTGCAGTCAAAATAGGGTGGGTCACAGGCCCAAAATATGCAATACTACTTGCAAGTACAACTGGTGGGGAGGATACAGGGGGACTCTACAGCTTCTTCACAATCCCACAATAGAAAAGCTCTATCTGTTTTATCAGAGCTTCTGATGCTAACCAAGTGGTGTGTCTGGTGGTAGTTCTGGAGGTTGTGCTGGGGGTAGGTTTGTGGTATGGGATGGTGTGGGCTGGTCTGTAGGAGTCCTTGAGGGGGGTTCTGGGCATAAGTTGGGTCTGGGATAAGAGGCAGGGGTCTTCTGATATTACTCAGAAGGACTAAGGCTGGGTCTGGGGTCTGGGGTCTGTTGGTCTTCTGATATTACTCAGAAGGTCTAGGGCAGGTTCTGGGGGTCTGGGGATCTTAGCTTCTGATCTCTCACAGAAGGTCTAAGAGTCTGGGGTTGTTGTCTAAGGTGGTGCTACCATGTAACAGGCTAGCAGGGACAAGAAGACAACAGAAAACTAGGGAAGACTTGGTTACTACTTGTTCTCCCTTTGAGCGGCCTCAGAGAGGTCCTCTTTTTATAGACAAAGGGGCTGACAAATGCTATATCCTAAGGGGCCTCAGAGAGGTCCTCTTTTTATAGACAAAGGGGCTGACAAATGCTATATCCTAACTACCCAATCAGATCACATGTCATCCTAAACTATTTGTCAGCCTATTGCACCATTTGCAACCAATCAGATCTTGTACATGTCATCCTAAACTATTTGTCAGCCTATTGCACCATTTATAGCCAATCAGAAGTGAGAGAAGTCATCCTAAATACACTGTGCCACTTGATTGAAAGGGGCAGATGCCAGTGTGTCAGAATACTCATCTAATTTAGCCAGAAATGGCTAAATCTGCTTATTTATCTAATTCTGGTCAAATGAATGCTGACACCATCAGCAAAGTCATGTGCCCACTAGTTTGGAACCACATCTAACCAGTATAACCATAGCACTGACAGAAGAATTCTGTCACAATCAACTTGCCGACCATGCTTCCCACGCGCTGAAATTCTATCTCCTTTCATCAGCGCCAGTTTTTCCCACAGTAAATCAAGAGACGATTGAAGCCATCCTCTATCTTCTCAACAAAGGTGAATCATGGCAACCAAAAACCGGTGCGAAGAAGGCATTACGCGAATCCTTGTTGCCATACATTCGTTGGTACTGCCACATCGTTGGCTTCGTTCATCCAAATCTACAAAAAGAGCAGCAATCAGTCAATTACCTGACAGCAAGTATGATGGCGAATCTGAAGGTCAACATCCAGGAACACTTCATGATGATGCTGCTCCGGTACATTAATCTGCGGCTCGACGTGAAGGGACAGAAGCAGCGACTGCCACTGAAAAGTGTAACAACGAGGACGTCTTCGAGAGATCGCGAGTAAGCCCAAATCGGACGCAGGAAGCATGAATCGCGTGACCAACTCCACCGATTGGGTTACCGTGACCGAAAAAACCAGTTCAGAGAATGGCAATTGGCGCATTAGATTTCAGCGTGCCTTGTACAACCTGTGGAGGCCCGAGCCAGTGTGGAAAAGGAAGAGATTGGTACCGCCACCAATAAATCAGTTGCGGTGCAGTGACACCCATTAGTTTAGTTTAGTTTAACAGTTTATCCAAGAATCTTGTATAAAAAGGATGTATTCAATAAAATAAGTCAGGGGCAGAAGCCGTAGTGACACTAAATCCCCATAACTCGCTTCTCAACTCCAATCTTAGGTTAACAGGAACCTAACAGAGTGCTTCAACGGCCTGATCACCTGTACTGAAGCCTCTAAATCCTGCTCGGTTCACAACTAACCGACTCTCCTTGCCTCTTGCCCCCAAGTCGCTACCGACGCCCAAAGAAAGGATTCGGAGACTATGATTCCTAGTACGGCCACCCACATAACCTGCTAGGAGACCCAAGTCGTCTTTACCGTAGTCTACCAACAAAAAATCCGCTACAAAAGCGATGCGCGGAAAGCTTTCTTTGCTCGTCTTCACTACTTGAAGTCGGTTTTCCTTTTCAAAACCATGCCAGAATCGCTGGATGACTTGACTGCTGAAGAGAGTGAACTTCTAGAAGAGATTTGGTCCCTTAACATTCCCCTTTCTGACGACCAGCCACTCGCATATTCCGTTGCTGTAGACCCTCTCGTGTTCTTTCCTGCATACTGTCGGTTGTCAAGCCTATATGAAAAGCATGGATTTCGACAGTTCAGTGCGATACCTCTGTGCCGCTCGCTCATTCAAAGTCACGTGCGAATGGACACCATCATCCTGTACCAGCATATCCTTTGCATCACGCAGTGAGACACAGAAACTGTCGAAAAGGATGATCTGTGGTTGCGCGTCTGTAATCTGTGGAACAAGGCTTTTAGATCTCGCCACGGTATGCAGTTTGAAGGCTCGATCACGACGGATGGAACCTCAGTGTCTGTATACCTAAAGCACCCAGAAGCAGACAAGTATGGAAAGCGCAGAGCGAGAAAGTCAGCAAACATGGTGGCAGCGGAGGTTAAAGTGCAATACATGGAGAAAAACTTACCTGCTTGTCGAGCAGCAGAGAATGTCGTCGTTATCGACCCAAACAAGCACGATATTCTCTACTGCCAAGACAACAGTGGTATGACATTTCGCTACACCGCCAACCAGCGAGCTGTGGAGACTGGAAGCCGTCGATTTGCAACAGAACGGCAGCAGATGAAGAAGGAAGCGGGAATGGACCTCATAGAATCACGTATCCCTAGTCACAAGACAATGAACCTCATGGACTTCATGCGCTATCTCCTTGTTCGGCGCGCTGATTGGGATCGTCAAAAGGACTTCTATTCGCATCCTGCCCACACGTGGTGGAAGTGGCATGCATTTATAAACCGTCAGAAGAGTGAATCGAACCTCATATCCAACTTACGCAACAAGTACGGTGAAAACTTTACCATTGTGATGGGAGATTGGAGCGATGCCGGTTGAACTGCAAGATTTCAGACCTCATCAAAGACGAAAGGTTGGCGCACCCTCTTTAAGCGCAACAGGATCAACTGCTTCCTTCTCGACGAGTATAAAACCTCATCTGTCTGCCCTCACTGTTCATCCGATGACTTCCTTGAAAAAGGTTTCAAAACACGACCTCATTCAAGACCTTGGCGACGACGAGAAGGCAAGATTGAAAAAGTCCATGGATTGCTGGGTTGTACCAACCCTAACTGTCAGCAAGCCTGGACGATGCGCTACTGGAATCGAGATACGCTGAGCACCTGCAATATGCTGATAATCGTGCAATCAATGTTGGATGGACACAGTAGACCAGAAGTGTTCAGCAGGAGTGTTCCAGCCGTAGCTTAGATTGGTTAGATTAGGTTTTCCGAGCCGGTTGTCGCCGGTTCAATCCCTGGTGCGGGTGCTAGTGCCAATACCCACCGGCTCCGCACTAGCTTGTCCTTGCAACTTAAGTCATCCGCCACTTTTCAACAAACGATGGCTTCCGAAACGATTCCCGCCCGCTTCGGCCATATCCGGCGTTACTTTGCGCTCTTCCTCCTCCTTACTGTGATTATTGGTGTGAGCGCATACGAGGACACTGTTCCGTTGATTCTATGGAGTGGCAAAAAGTAGCCGTCATGGTGCTCCCTGTCCGTTGAACCTGCACCTTACTTGAGTCGTCTATTTCTTTTCCAGATTTTCAGTTCCAAGTACCTCCTCCATACTCCGGAGATCAGACTTGTCGCCAGTGTTTGGAAACGTCGGTTGTCGGAAACTGAATGTGGTCTTTGAACAGAAAGATGTGCGCATGTCGTGTATCTGTCGCTACTCCCCTGCTACATCATTTAACACAAACATTTATATAGCTTCACGCCTTGGATCTTCCTCATTTGTCTCCCGCAACCAAAAAGTTGAAACGATCAGTAGACTCTGCTCCTTCGAGCCTCAAAATATCATTTGTTGCGGCCGCAAATGATGTGAAAGATGTCGTGGAACATATCCAGGATGCATGCCAGAAAGCTGGGCAGGAGGCTGTCGTTCTGAAAATTGGAGAAGGTATGATCGACCACGGAGGGAGAAATAAAACTATCAAGATAATAACGCATGTTTGGTCCCTAATACAGATGGGTCGGTACCTGATCTCAGTGATGGAAAAAGTTACATCCTGGTCGCTAGTTTGAAGCCTCTTCGCGCCGCTTCAGCAGCAGAACACGTCGAGACAATGACCGAAAATGACAACGTTATCGACAAGGTGCTGACCGACATCACCAAGCTGGAACAAGACGATTGGACAGCTGTGTTTACCGGTGTATCCAACCCTTCGGTGCGTCCACGCTGTTTGGTTGATGTATTGTTACCTGTAGACTCACCAGTGCATACGCAATTACAGACGCTGCGAAAGCGAGCTACTCAAGCCACCCCCTTGCCATGGAGCAAGCGCCCCATCTTCCAGAAATACGTGTTTTTCAATCAAGGTCTCTTCATGTGCATTTTCGCGATGGTGCCTCTCGTGATCATCGGATTACTTGGCGTACGAATCATTAGCAGTATTCAAACGCCCACTCGCTATGAAACCAAGAAGAAGGAAAAATAGGGACTAGAATCCTCTACGCTCATTCTCTTATATGTTGTGCCTGAATATACCTTGCTGTTCGTCTTCACGTAAAGAACAAAGTGGACTCTGCATCAGTAATTGTCACGCGTAACAGAATTGCAAACTGTATTGGTATATAGTATGCGAAACAGCTGTAACATGGTGTAATTCGGTACTGGAATGCCAAACTTCCGATTTACCTGTGAGTATCAGTATCGACTAAGACTCCAGCGTTCCTGCTTAAAGTCGCCATTTGGAAGCTTTTTTGGACGCCTCCAACATGTGTGTGATATCGCATTTCGTAACGGCACAAAGCGGTTTGTAAGCCAACCTATTGAGATCGGGAAAGAAAACCAACCCTGCCGCTCGCTCGATTGCTACGTAGATACACAATCAGATTTACAGATAATAAAGGGCATGAAATGGCGCCGGGAAGCTTACCGTCAAGCGGCATAGTAAAAGCTTCAAGGGATGCAGTGTTTTCAATGGGTTCATTGGGCAGGACGAACCCTTGTAAGGCATGCTCCTTTCCCTTCACACCCAATACAACTGCAAATGTCGTAAGTTAAAACGTTGGGCGTTCTAAACCGATCAGGGACGCAACTCACCCTTGTAAAAATGCGTCGGAACAGCCGTATTTGGTGGATCGCCGATAACCTCATACTTGACGTACGATCGCCCATCTTCTCCTACTTTTGGTAGGTAGAGTGGTCCAGTAATGACATAAACATCGTCAAAGACTTTGGTGAGGGATCGAACAAAGCTCTCAAAATAGAACCAGTAGTTTCTATTGAATCCCTTTCCGACTTGGGGGCTGATATTTGTTACTGTTCTTTGGCAATATGTAATCAGTGGAAGCGTAGTGTGCGATGAAGAGGTTGGACGTACAAAGGAAGGTTTCGTTAATAGCTTCTTGTGAATCGCGAACGTCAGCAGCTGGTGCGAGGTGCCCCCTAATAATCTTAAAGATTGAGTCTGGAAACAATTGCGAAAAGTCTCGAGTTAGTGAATCCAACAAATTACCGATCATATCCGGTCTTCACATAATCCTTCAGCTTTGCACGGAATAATCTTGGAATCCGTAAATCCTCTCTGAAGGTCGAATGACTCCGGTCCGGTTTATCAAGATTCGCTTCATCTACTACTATCAGACTAGTGGAGGAATTGGATTTTCCCTCCAGGGTAGCTGCTGTCAGATGCTCTGCTACCTGGGTCGTAATATAAACAAAGCGGGTAGCGAAGCTGTTTCGGACAATAAGCAGTATCGTACCCAGTTTGGATTTCTTAAAGAACGATTGTAGGAAGTAACTAATGGTGATAAGCGGTAGTGGCTAGTTGTTAGTCTGGCTGCTTTGTACAAGAGGCTGTCATTCTATATTCCATACCATATGCTTGGCGGTAGAGGAGATCAGATACTGGCCCTTTGAAGAAGAAAAGGCGACAATAATAATAATGATAAAGCCATTGCCAGTATATGCCAATATGCACAATTAAAATAACCTGGAAAGCCAAACTTCATGATTTCCTTTGCTTTATGGACTGGTTGTTCAGTCACATCCGTAGGTAGTGTTGGAGGCAATGTAGCAGGAACATGCGGGACAATTACTTCTGTTTTTTGCGTGCGTTTATACAGTGCAATACCCCCCAGTCCCCCCAGCACAGCTCCAGCTCCAAATGCCACTGCGGCGGTCAACCTTGATACAGGCATTGCGTTAGAGAATTCAACAATGGGGTCGTGAGCATGTTCAATCCTCCTTTGCGACCGCGCCTAGCAACGCTCCCCCAAGTGTGATGTGGTCATCATCCCCGACGAAGGCGTCCTTCCCATCTTGCAGCATTTCTATCCCAAAATGCCCCGTACCCTAATTCTCCTGACAGGCGCCTCGAGGGGCTTTGGGAAATCTCTCACCCTAGCCCTATCGGCGTCTAAACTCGTAGCACAAGAGACCGACTTGTTACTGACGGCCCGTAACACTGCTCAGTTGGAAGAAACCAAGGCGGAAGCCCTCGCAGCGGCGTCGTCAAAGTCTCTTCACATTGTAACGCATTCGGCTGATTTTACATCTCTGGATCTGGACAGCGTTTGCAAAGATTTGTTTGCCAAAATCCCACACCCGGCGACTCAATACGCGCGGGTATATCTTTTCAACAATGCCGGGTCACTGGGGAAACTCGACAGAATGCGACACCAAACTCCCGATGACATTAGCCCTGCCGTTCATCTGAACCTTACCGCTCCTCTAGCATTGACGTCCGCTTTTCTAAGACACTTTCCCAACCCCACTCAGATCCATATCATCAACATATCCTCATTAGCGGCCATCCAGGCTTTTGACTGTTGGGGCGTTTACTCTGCAACCAAAGCTGCCCGAGATATGTACCACAAGACCATTGCAGTGGAAGAGCCCAACATAAGGGTATTGAATTATGCACCTGGACCACTGAATACTGATATGCAGACGAGGATCAGGGAGGAGATGCCGGATGTGCCTTTGAGGGAGGTGTACACTGACATGCATGCTCAAGGCAAGTTGGTTGAACCAACGGTTTCTGCCAAGGTATTGATTGGATTGTTGGAGAAGGATGAGTATGAGAATGGGGCACATATAGATATCTATGATGTCAAGGGATGGTGACTTGCCTTTAGTGGGACGGTGGAAAAGGAATGTTTATTGTAAATGTAAACCCAAATATGAACTCTTGGTTTTCAAGTTTCCTATTTTTAAAAGTAGCTATGCTGGATGAGTGACGTACGTTGACTGTCTTTTCGTTTAGCAATCTAATCACTTGCATGGTCAGAGCAATGCGGAACGGAAGGAGTGATCTGCACAGCCCATGACCTTGACATTCGCCATTAATGCCTGGGTTAGTGGCACGATTCTTCGTTGAGCAAAGCAGGAGGATGAGATCACCCAAAGGCTGCTTACACTCTCCTCGGTCGGTTGACCCTTCGTTTCTACATCTTGTTGTCCGACAACAGCGCAGCAAACGAGGTTGTTCGCTCAGTTCCAGTTGATGTTTTGGTCGTGGCCGATGCTGCGCGATCATGATGAGTCAATCACGGAAATTTACCCAATTTTTTGAACTGCCAAAAGTCATTGCTGCTGAATTGCCAAATTCCAACAACATGTTTGCTAAACGACTCTGCACACATCGACAGAGACTTTTCAACCCCTTCCCTTCGCACATATCTCGTCGATTCCTCCAAGTACCTGTCAACCAAGTCAAACGAGGGGCGGTCATTGAGCTGCGAGACAGAATATGGGTGGTAAACAATTACACACACCACACTCAGGGGCGAGGAGGAGCACACTACAAGTTTGATTTGCGGGATGTAACTGGATCTGGGAAGGCGTTGGAGAGGTTTAATTCCGGACAGACGGTGGAAGGTGGGGAACTTGGATATTATGGAAGATCAAATTGTTTTGTCTGATTCGTTTCTTTATGCAATAGTTGTTGAGCTGGATACAAAAGAGCTGCAGTTCTTGTACCTAGATGACCAAGAGCTGCACTTGCTAGACAATGAAACCTTTGAAGAGCATGCCTTTCCACTTGGTATTTTCAATGGTATGATCCAGATCTGTGATTTGCGGCCTTTTCATATAATCAGTTGCTTACTCGGGGATAATAAAAAGGCGGTGACAAAGCGATACCGTTTCTGCAAGACGGAATGCGGATTGAAGTCGATTTTCATGAAACAAAGCCCGTGGTCGTAAAGATGCCAGAGCGAGGTACTTACACCGTGGTGGACACTCCACCTGTTGCGTCGAGCGGAACTAACGAGAGCAAGGGCACCATGTTCAAAGATGCGACCTTGGATTCTGGGGCTCATGTTATGGTCCCAGAATTTGTCAACATTAGAGATAAGATTGTAGTAGATCTTGGAGAGTACAGATATGTTACGAGAGCCAAATAGATGATGGGACAGTTGAGATGGGAACACCAATCTCAAGCATGCGGTTTTCAAAAAGTTCACAATTGTTCAAAGTGGGTGACATACGGCGAAGATCAGTAAACGTATTACAATATTCTCTGTTAAAACTGATGATGATAATTGACTTGCGATACAAAATTTAAAAGAATATCTAGCACAAAACAACTACTTGCTAGATTTGCTCCCTTCACTGACAGGCTCGCGATAAACTACGACTGGAACCTTGGAATGGCTTAGGACATAACTGCTTACGCTACCCATAACCAAGTTCTTCAGAGCTCCTCGTCCGCGATTGCCAACAATAACCATGCTCGCTCCTAGCTTGTCGGCAGCTCCCACCAGGACCTCCCTGGGATCGCCCCAAACGAGCCGTGCTTCTACTTTTACGCCGTCCAAATCTTTGGCGTACTTTTGTCGCACATCTTGTACAAGAGTCTTCATACCATCCATTACATTTTGTTTAACTTGTTCTATGTAGCCGGTAATATCCACTCCAGTATAGAAATCCATCGCGGCCGGTGGGAACGCGCGGGGGATGGTGTGGAGAATAACGAGGGTGTCATTTGGTTTTAGAAGATGAGTAAAGGTGTACTTTAGCAAGGGCTCTGCATCGGGTGAGTCCAGCCCGAGGAGGATAAGTCGTGCGGGCTCCGTGGTTGGTGCAGGAAGGTGGGCCAGTGTGGTAGGTTCCAGAGTATCTGGAGCGGGACCATCGAATACTTGCGAGGACATGTTTGCTTTTGTTTTGCGCTTGCTATTAGGAGTGCCTCTGTAAAGAAGGGAGAGCAGAAGGAAGGCCTTTTATAAAGCGGAAGCTACAAGATGCCAGTACACAGCAAGACGCAGCATGACTCATCGACCGTGTCATAATCGGACGTGATTGAAAATGGCACTAGGACCCATTATTATCCGGATTAATCCGGTTAGTCATATCGCATAATCAGCACCCCCATCTATCACTCAAAGCGGTGTGGCATGGATGCTAATGTTCTCCAAACTGCGGTGAGGCATGCTAATGTAACGTTTTGTCTTTTTCAGCTGGACCCCATTTTGCCACAATCGAGGTCTATAAAAGGGGGGCCTTTTGCTGTCTCTCCCCTTCCTCACCAGTTCCTCGACTCTCAAACCATCTGCGCAACTCTCATCGCGACTCGGTCCAATCATGAGAATGCAGATGTGGTGGTGCCGAGGACCTCGACCGCCCGACAGCAATCGTGATCAGAACCAGCGGCAACCAATTGGATCCGATAACAAAACCTACTATTATGCTGCTACACTTGTTGAGCTTGGTTGGTAAGTACCAATGGCATTTCTTTTCATTCTGTCATTCATCTCGCTGACATGCAGTTTTTAGTCTCCAAGCCTTGTCACTGAAGATCCTCCAGCTTGCGAGTCTCCCCAATGTTGCGAAGACTCTGGCTTCAATGCCATCAAGAGTTCTGGATCAAGGCCTAGTAGGGACCGTGTGTGGTGGTGGGCAATTATCCGGTTACAACCAACCGTTACGTATTGCGTGTATAATTGTCTAGTAGTAGCTTAGCTTTTCCGAACCGGTTGTCGCCGGTTTATTCCCTGGTGTAGTAGCTAGTGCCATTTTCTGTCACCTCTACACTAATCGACAAAAGATGTTTAACAAAATATGAATATCGTGCAAAGAAACGTGCTCGCAAAAGTGTTTTAGCAGGTTGGTCTGGACAAGAAGTTTTGTTGGATTCGTTTGGATTGGCATTGCAGCTGGCTGAGTTCCGGCAGCAAAGCACGAGGTGGATTTGTCTTTGACGTTGTATCCAACAGAGCAATGAAACCACAAGGCCGTGACAGGCGAGTTGGAAGCTCATCTTGCGCTTGCCATCCTCTTCTCGATGTGGGCTTGCAAGGATGTGAACACTTAGCGTCTTTTCGTAACTTGTCTTTGCACTCTAAACTATCGGATTCCTCCTATTCAACAGCTTATCAATAGCTGAAACACAGAGTCTTCAAATGCAGTAAGGCATGTCTGGTTAAAGATTATTATAGCGTACAAAATGGAAGGATGCTCTGGGGTGACCTAAAACATCACTGAATAACACCCATTTGCATGTAAATGTTGCGCAAGATGCATGAGTGCTTTCGATAAAGCGTCACCAGGGAACATCATACTGGTGCTGAAAAGCGGTGCTCAACATGCTGTTTGCAAGTTTCAAGTGAAATCTACGGCATGGTTAACGCCTCAAAACCTGTGATCTACGGATGTTGGTATGTACATCAACCAGAAAGTCTTTCGGAGAAAGTTCATGCCAACCGTTCCAGCCCCGTACCGATCTATGGATTCCTTGAGTATTCAAACCAAATGTCTGCAATATCGGTTGGACAAACGTTGGAAAACACATCCCAAACCAGAAGTGTCAAACGATGGGATGTATCACGTGATGGGCATTACGATGTAACACTTTCCCCAGGCTAGACAAAAACTCCAGCCCATGTTGGTTCGTCACTCGTTTGGCGACCGTCCATTCACAAATTGCAACATGTCGAAGCAGGGACCACTGAAGCGAAAATCCAAGGGTGTTCTTCCCGACAATGCTCTTTCAATTACAGAGCGCATCTTTTATCAGTCGGCACCAGGTCGACCACAGGTGACGTACGGAAGGGCAAGGGCATCTTCAGGGATTTGTATTAACAGTCATCTTCTCGGTCTCGTCTATACAACAATGGGTTCCTCCAGGTCATAATGTCCTTTCTGTTGCGCCTACACCTTCCACCGCAAACGCCAGACGTATCAATCCCACGGCTCGTCGACCTACTCAAGCTAGCTGCCTCCGAACACTATCGCTTGACATCTTTTGTAGATCCTACCACACTCACCGTTCGCCCGTTGGGGGAAACTGCGGCAGATTTCAAGCCAGAATATCGTGTGGTAGCTCGGGAGGATCATGACACGTGGAGAAACGTCTTTTGTGATGAGATGAACATAAATTTCGACACCAACGATGTTACGAAACCTCTTTGGAGGACGGTTATAATTGCGCACAAGAGCGTGGCGAATGGTCAGGATGTGGCTCCGTTGAAAGCGATAGATAGTGCAGTTGGGCTCAATGACTCAGCTTTGACGGTTCCGTCGGGAGAAGGAGAAACGGAGACTGGGTCGTCGAGTCCGAACTCGTCACACACTGTACCTAGCGCGGTAGAGTCTACGGACACACTCATTCCGGCGCAGCTCGGTCCCAACAAGATCGATACATCCCCGCTTACTTATTCATCACACCGACTGGAAGATAAGCGTCATTTTGAGATCATTTTCTCTTTCCATCATTGCTTAGGGGATGGGCTTTCGATGTATGCTTTTGCAAAGACGTTCCTGGCGGTGTGCGATGCCGATCATTTGAACGCAAGTGATCTACGATTGGAAACGGTTGCACTGGTCACTGAGCCGCCACCATTGATTGATAATCTCTTTAATCCGTATCTGGTGCAAGTACTTCCTGGTAGGAACTGTACAGTCCCATTTAGCTGTCGGGATATTGGCCGATTGACCGCTAACTTGCATCATTTGAAAGTGGCCGCATCAATGGCAGTGAGCTTTGCGACCTCGAAAGGCCGCTCCCGCTTCAAAGGTCGTAAAGTCGATCGCATTACGGACAATACAGCTTCCCAAGCTTCATCATCAGATCCCATAACCCTAAACTCAACAGATGCTGAAACCGCTCTAAAACAAGAGTCACGACCCACCTTAACACGTCCCCTCACATTACCCATCCCACGCCCGCTTTTAAACACATCACAAACAAACGCTCGCTTCCTTTGGTTCGATTCTGTGTTTACCGAATCTCTCAGAAAAAGAGCAAAAAGGGAGAAGACATCCATAGCGGCTGTTTTGGTGGTTGCTGCAATGGCTGCAGTTCGATCCGCATTCGAGACAATTCCCAAGTATTCCCAAGATCCATCAAAAAGGTGCCGCAAACGCCTGCCAACTCATCAAGGATGGGTAGTCACATCTACTATCCGATATCTGCTACCGGGATCGCGCCTCTTGCAAGGTGGCGACAGAGCAACCGATCCTGCCATGCAAATATTTGGTGGATATAGTGGAAGTGTCATGAATTCGGCTCATCGATGTACCGACAGCGACACGTTCTGGGGGAGAGTTCGGTCAGTGCGGAGACGGATAGCGCAAAGTCAGCGATCAAGCGTGGCTCGACTTCAATTGGTAAATTGGTGTTTCCGCCATAAATCATTGTGGAAACGTATAAATGAGAGCACAGATCTCTCCAAACTTTCGCGATCCTATTCTGTAGAAGTAGCGAATTTGGGTGCTTGGGATTATCCTATTGCTTCACCACGACATAAATCACAGGACGACCCTAGAGCAGTATTATCTCATTTTGCAGGATTAGTGAATTCCTCCTTTGACGGCGTACGCGGTTTGTTTACGTTAGGTGTGATCACACTGGGTGGTGATATGAGCGTTGGCGTAGGTTATGATAAGCATTCAGTGAGTGAAGCTGATGCAGACGCCTTTGTCACTGCATTTGAAAGATGCATGCGCAAGTTAGTGCTTGATGATAATGGACAAAAGAGTAGAGTTACAGTTGGGGAGCTACGAAAGTCTTGATTGTAAAATAGATGACATAGATCTCTTTCCTGCGTTGGACTGACTGACGCTCAACAGTCTTGTTGAATTAAAAAAGAAAAACCAAAAAACCATTCATAAACTGAATCCGTTGCACTTAAACAAGTTGGCTTGTCGTGTTTTCTTTGATGACACAAATCGACTTTAAATGCTTTTAATGTCTTTTTGAATTTTTTTTAGAGGGAAACTAAACGTGGGGTTTCTATGGCGAGAGTTTTGGCCTGAGACGTAGCAGGCTTTTTGGTTGAAAAGGTTTCTAGTGTTTTCAACAAACACACACAAACTATACTTGTTTGTGCAGGAACACAGTTGGGGAGAGTTTGAGGCTAGATACGCAGCAACTACTACTACACACACACGCACAAGGTCAAGAACGCCGCTACCTTTTTTTCACCAGGGAGGACCGGTCCGCGTTGGTTGAGAGAACCAGGACTACGCCAAAAGCTAAAACGAGGTAGGTCATGCCATTTCACTATGCATGGCACATGCTGTACTCGCATGAGCGACACTGGGCATTGTTGGAACAGGGGACACGGAGTTTCAAGACGTGTTGCCAACGAACAGGACTGGGAACAGTGGGGACGGCGGGCATACTTGTAGCAGGGAGTGAAAGGTTTTCTGCCGTGAGTAAATCTGGTCGACCTCAGTGAGCGGGTTGTCGGACGATTAGTTGTCCTATGCCTCACTGGTCTTCATATACGCTAGCCAAGCTAGAAAGAGAGCTGCGCAGGAGGTTGAGAGTGACCTATACTGTCTTTTCTGTGGGGACTGGTGCTAGCCGACGACCAAAACAGTCGTAGCTGAGCATTAGACGCTGGGATCTAACGTATCTACTCTGATTCTCCCATCAGGATGAGCGACTTTGACAGCCTTCCATTAACATCCTCCGAAACCTTCACACCAATACGCTCGGAAACACCATTAACCGACCCATTCGACTCTGACTCCTCTCTATCTGACATATCGGATGCGCATGGTGAGGATGATGACCTGGATGATGGCCGACCGGTTACCGCCAGTATCAATGGGAATACGAATGGGAATGGGAATGCCATGTCACAAGACTTTCTAGATGACAATGAGGTATGATTCTTTGGGTTATCTCTCATAATGTTCTTCATCCTAATCCATACGTTTAGTCGAACGAATCTGATGAGCTCGACGATGACGATGATGACGATGACGAAGATTTTGAGGAGACTGAAGCCCGAAAAGGAAAGTCAAAGTCAAAGAAAGGAGCTGCTACCTCCAAAAAGTCCTCTGCTGCACGTGCGGGAAACGCAAAGCCTGCTCCGTATGATAGCATTGTTATACCTATGGGTGACAAGTCATCGATCGAGAAACTTATTTCATGGCGGACAACGGATGATGGAAGCGAGGAAATTCTTGTGAAATACAAGGTACGACTCCTGCCCATTTCTTGTTTGCCTACTTGGTCGTCGAGCTCATGCGGGATTTCCTTTCCATCTTCAAAAGAATTTGAGCTATTGCCATGCGGAATGGCTACCGCGTGCAGAGGTGGAGGGAAGCAAAATGGGAAAGATGCGTGTCAAACGCTTCATGGAGAAGCCATCGTGGGAGATGCAGTGGAGCGAGGATGAGCCTTTCAATCCATCGTTCCTCAAAGTAAGCTCATCGTCGCAAGAGATGTCCGCTTCTTTCATGCAATAATTCATTTGGTTTTTCAGATCGACCGATTGCTGGATGAAGGAGAATTAGGAGACAAGGTTTTCTATCTTGTGAAATGGTGCGCGCAAACGTACGATGCTAGCACCTGGGAGAATGCAGAAAAAGTCAAGGAGGTGCGAGATTCTTTGCTAGATTGATCGTCCTGGTTATCGGTGCATTAATACCTTATTGTACCTCTCCATCAGCTGGACGCTGACAAGATCACAGAGTTTGCACGGCGGCGGCACCTCGATTCTGCAAAGGAGGCCAGTTATTTGGCTCCCCGTAAACGCCCGAATCCAAAGGAATGGAAAAAGTTGGACGAATCGCCATCGTGAGTATTTGATATTCGATGCTTTCTCTCCCTTAGGTCAGAGCTAATCCTACTTGGCTCCATAGATACAAAAATGACATGCAACTTCGGCCATACCAACTAGAAGGTTTGAACTGGCTCCTATTCTGGTAAATCGTTTGGGTTCTTTTTCGATATTTTTATAGAAAAGAATACTGACGCGGCACCTTTACCAGCTGGTACAACAGACAAAATAGTATTTTGGCGGACGAAATGGGGTAAGTGGTGCCCGACAATCGGTATTCTCATTTCTTAGTCAACGTCTAATTGACCAAACTTTTTAGGCTGGGAAAAACTGTGCAATCTACCGTCTTTCTGGACTATCTCTACACCAAGGAGAGATTCTGCGGACCGTTCCTGATCGTCACTCCACTTTCAACCATCGGTAACTGGGAACGGGAAATCAAAACCTGGACAGAGTTGAATGTTGTCGTATACCACGGCCGAGATATATCCCGAAAGCTCATCGAAGAGACAGAGTTTTATTATAGGGACTCTCAGGGGCACATCATTCCGGACATATACAAGTTCGATATCATTCTGACAACATACGAGATGGCAATGGCTGGTGCCTCACACTTGCGACCCATAGCATGGCGATGTGTCGTTTTGGATGAGGCGCATCGTCTCAAGAATAAGACGTCAAAAGTGTCGGAAATTCTAAAGACATATAGGATGGACCACCGAGTTCTTTTGACTGGAACGCCATTGCAGAATTCTTTGGATGAGCTGTGGGCGTTGCTCAATTTCCTGCAACCCGATAGATTCGGGTCTGAGAGCGATTTCCAGAGGGAGTATGGAAGTTTGAGCAGCGCAGCTGATGTGGAGAAACTGCAAGGACTACTCAAACCACTTATGCTACGTCGAATGAAGGAAGACGTTGAAAAATCTCTTCCCGTCAAGGAAGAAACGATCATTGAGGTGGAGTTAACCACGACGCAGAAGAAATGGTACCGATCAATTTTGGAAAAGAACTTCACTTGGCTGAAACAAGGGACGAAGAAAACTAATGTTCCAAACCTCATTAACACCATGATCGAGCTCCGCAAGTGTTGTATACACCCGTTTTTGTTGAAAGGTGCCGAAGACCAGATTATGAGGGAAAGAGGAGGGGATACCGTAGAGCACCACTTTCAAGCTCTCGTACAAGCTTCAGGGAAGATGGTTCTTATTGACAAGTTGTTGACAAAGCTGAAAGCTGGCGGACACAAAGTCTTGATATTCTCGCAGATGACACGTTGTCTGGATCTTATACAGGACTATCTCCGGGGTCGCCAATGGCATTTCGAGCGTATCGATGGTGGTGTACGTGGAGATTTGCGGCAGGCAGCTATTGATCGGTTTTCAGCACCGGATAGTGACACTTTCATCTTCTTGCTCTGTACTCGCGCTGGTGGTGTGGGAATCAACCTTACAGCTGCAGATACCTGCATCATCTTTGATAGGTAGGTTGAAATGGAGCAACTCCAATTAGCGCGGCCATGACGTGTACCTGATCGTTCTGTTTCCCCTCTCAGTGACTGGAATCCGCAGAACGACTTGCAAGCACAAAGTCGAGTGCATCGAATTGGTCAAAAGAGGCCAGTACAAATATATAGACTAATAACCCGCAATACCTACGAGCGCGAAATGTTTGATCGCGCCAGTATGAAGCTAGGTCTTGATCGAGCAATCTTACAAAGAATGGATGCTCAATCGCTTGGGGAATCTGGGCTCGACGGTCTGGATACCTCGAAACCACCATCTTCGCTGTCCAAAACGGAAATCGAAGAATTGCTGAAGAAGGGTGCTTATGGTGCTATGTTGGACGATGATGCAAGTAATCAGTTCTGCGATGAAGATATTGATAGCATTTTATCACGACGGACCCATGTCATCAAGCATGATACTACTACACAGTCAGAAAAAGGCTCAATATTCTCCAAAGCCACTTTCTCGGCATCAAATGCCGACAACGTTGACGTCAATGATCCCGATTTCTGGGATAAAATGGCTGAAAGGGCCAAACTGGAAGTAGTCGAAATAACGCCAGAAGCGGACCTGATTCTTGATTTACCGCGACAGCGTCGTCAAGTGCAGCGATTCGGGGCGGTATCAAGAGGGAGCCCTTTTGAAGACGAGGACGACGGGAGCCGCGGGTCACGTTCAGACACGGTGAAACCATGGGCATTGGCTGAAAAAACGCGATTAGAGCGGGCTATGATGGTCCATGGTTTTTCTGGCTGGCAGAAGATGGTAGAGGAAGCCTTACCGAGACGTGCGGTTGAGGATGTCAAAGCATGCGCTAGAGCAATGGTCATTCACGGGTTGAAGGTCACCTCCTACTCGGAAGCAGAACTGATTAACGATGTCAAAGCTGCTCTTGCACAGGAAACGGGAGATATTCTGGATGATACCAATTACGTGATACCTGAGATCCCCTACGAAGGTGCTACAAGACGCCAAATTGCAGAGTATCGTTCCTTCTTGCTTGATGCCCCACCGGAATACCATGAGCATCTTGAAAAGAGGGCTAAAAATATGCTCTCTAGAATCGCCATGATGTTCTGCATTCGCGAAAAGATAAAACCCACAAAAGACATGAAGATGCCGCGCGTCGTTGGAGCGCCTCCTGCACCTTGGTGGGGATTAGTTCAAGATCGAGATTTGATAATCGGGATATCGAAATATGGGTACCAGCAATACGATAGAATACGTATGGATCCTGAGCTATGTTTCTTCTCGCAAACTTTTGCGGATCTTCCCGCTGCGGACACGAATGGTGATGTGGAACTGGGCATCGATAGAAAGGACGATAAAGACAATGTGGATCCGGATGATGTGGACGACGTTGTAGATGAAAATGGTCGATTTCCAGCTGCCGACACACCAGGTTCAGAAAATGCATCAGGAACCGCTACCCCGTCATTCGATGCAACTGAACAAGCCGGCAACAATGGACTGCACTTCCCATCACCTAGTGACCTCGGTTTCCGCTTGAGACGCATAATGGCCGCATTTCAAAAGGAATTGAATTCAGCTGCTCGAGAGGAGGCCAAGCGTCAACAAGCTGAAGAGCGCACTCGATTGAGGCAAGAGAAGGAGCAGGAGAAGATTCGTGCCAGAGAACATGACCTGACACGAAAGGAAAGACAAGAATTCTTGCGGACTCTCATGTCCTTTGGTGTGGAGACTCTGCCAGGATCTCCTGGTGTCCGTGATTGGAAACGCTTCAAGGAGCTGTCAAACTTGCGAAAATCTCCTGAAGTCTTGGAAGATCACTTTATTAAGCTAATGGCCATATGCGACGATGTCATTCGCTGCACGGAACTAGCTGCGATGCAGAATGGAACGAATGGATTATCCCTTGGCGATGCAGAAGAAGCGCTGGAAGCCTCGATTAGAGAAAAGGACCCCGATATCACCTATGATAAGGCAAAAAAGTTGCTTAAGCGACTTGATCAGATGCGGATACTGCGTGAACAGGTTTTACCCCATCCTCAGGTATGCGATTTCTTGAAGATCTAAATGTTGCGTTTGTCCCGGCTCTGACTTTAGTTCTACGCTTTAGCTTGATGACCGTTTGGCAATACTGAAACGTCATGGTCGATCAGGATTGCCGAGGTAAGTCAAAGGAGAGCGTTTGTTCTTGGGCTGAAAAGATATCAATGCGTACTTTGGTTGCAGCTGGTGGTCATCCGAGTATGATAAGCACTTCCTGCTCGGAATAGCCAAATGGGGTCTTAACAGAAGCGATCTCATCATGGAAGGTGAGTAGCAAACCTCAGGCCAAACTTTGTGACAATTTTGTAACATTATCCTCCTCCATCAGATCCGACATCGGCGTTCTTCCCTCTCCATCAAGAGTTCCTTCAGTCGCTCGAGGTTCGCCGCGCCGAAAATATATCTAGAGACGAGCTCGTTGACGGCAAATGGGAGGAAAAATTCTGGATGAGAGAGCCTGTGGCACTACGGCGCTTTGAGGCTCTTTTGGAGGCTGCGTTGAAGGAACCCCCACCAAAGTCGCAGAAAAAGCATGGGCGGAGGTCAAAAGCATCGTCGCCGGACCGCATGTACGATGACTTAATGCAATCTCCAAAGGATTATTCCGGAAAATCCGTCCGACTGAAGCTCAAAGTTGGCTACAGCCCTTACATGGACGATGATATACCACCGGAAGAGACACCTTCTCAAAAACGAAAGCGTACCGCGTCACGGGAAGACAGCGGAGGACGGAAGAGAGCAAAGGGCCGTGTAAAGGAAGAGGATGACCTAAGTGGGGATGATACCGATGAGATGTTGCAAGCGGCCCGTAAGAGGACTGATAAGAAAAAGAAGAAACGACGAGAGGTGGAAGAGTTCGATGCCCCGGAGATGGAAGGCGAGGAGTATGATGTGGCATGGGAGTCTCCACGCCCACACAAAAGTCACCGATCCACCCCTACCGGGAGCGACCGAAAAAGGAAAAAACATCGGAAATCTGAGCGGCATAGCCTCACGTTTGGAGAATATGAAGGCGCTCATGTGAAAAGCGATGCTGAAGACTCTATGGATGATACGCGAAAGCGGCATCGTCGAAGTAAGCACGACAAGTCCGAGAAACGGAAAAAGCACAGGCACAAGAGTTCTACACATCCAGAGCTGGAAACGGAGGAACTCTCTGAGCGACATTCACGTAAACGCTCAAAGTCACATAACGACTACCCAACGGACGCTGCTGTGGATCCGATGGAAACCTCACAACGATCCAGATATTCCATAGATTATCTTGAACAACATGCTGTCACGACGGGACCAGCAGACGTTGAACAGTTTGGGGACCCTATATTTGATAGCGATGCCGGCGAAGATCTTTGAACATGTGGTTTCGCTTGCAGTGAAGGGGGGTGGAACGTGTGTTGGAGGTGGACTGTTAGTATTCCGGAGCACTGTGTATAGCTTTTTAGAGTGGAGAGAGTGGGGCACCAAGTGTCAAATATATGGCTTGATATGTTACGGATATACTTTTGATGGAACGAACGTGTCCTAATGGATATTTGGCTGAAGTGATGGAAAAGCACTCAAGTTTGCAATGCCAACGCAACCTCATTTGATAGCGATTGTCTATGATTCTCTCTTTTTTCTACCCTCCCTCTCTCGACAGCCATCCGCTAGCCGATGAGCTGGGTCAAATCCACATGCTTGTAACGGGTTGACTAATGCAGGGTTTGGAATTGTATTATCTATTGCTCCTAATGAAGTGTATCTATAAGAAATAACAAGCGATTAGTGATGGTCGTGTGGTCAATGAGCCCATTAGCATCAACTAACCCAAGATCGTATAAAATACAGTATGGGATTCTAAGATTTGCTAGTCCTTTCCAGATGTCTGCGTAATTCCAGTCCAGGATGGGATGTACACGCATGAGTGTCGGCCAATCCGGATCTGTCATCTGAAATGGCTGCAAGTGTTCTAATGCAAACAGAGCGTAAGAATGTCACTTGGTCTGGACTGTGACTGACTGTTTATGCTAACCTCCAAAAGGATCTGTTCGTCTTGTTCCTACCAACATTGCCTTCGTCTCTGGATATCGATCTAGAAAGACTTGCAGCCCAGCCCGCATGGGTCCGTACATTTTTACCAGTTCCAGATTGTATCTAGAGGTAACAAAGTTATTGTCAATGTCTGGTCAAGGTGGACAGCTACCATCGGGCACTTACCGGTCGACGCAGAACTCTACAAAATCGTCGACCTCTGGAAACGAATTTGTGTAGGCAACATAGAGTGTCTTTATTTTTGTTCGCTTTCCACTGGGATTTTCTCGTTCGTACGCTTGTCGTGCTGCATATAGCAAGTGCAGGAGAACTGTACAGTCTTTTCCTCCGTTGAAACTGAGCGCCACATTGTCTGGCCTAGCATAGTGGAGAGCAAATGTCAGGACAAGCAAGAAGATAAATGAAAGGGTACCAAAAGCTCACCCATATCGTTTTAGAGCCTCCTTTATGATTTTAAAGGACTCGTCCACTTTTTGAGCTCCCTCTAGGTTACCAACAAGTACCCGCTCCACATCTTCTAACGGCGCGAAAGACTCAGGATGGTCCGAGACGACCGCATACCTATGCCCGTTCACGCACACCCGTTTGGCTTGTGCGTATTCGTTCATGCAGTTTGCCGATGCAAAGGCGACTTTCTCCCCCTACTGACCCTGCTGCATTTACAATTTCGGGAGATCTCAAAACACTTTTGGAGGTGCTCGAAGTCTAGTCACGTGATATGGTTGAGTCAGCAAACTCGCCGCGACGATCGACGCTTTCCAGCAGCTTGTACTTAAGATCGTCCCATGATCTGCGGGGACTAGTTTCTTCCACGCGCAAAAGCCTAAATAAGTTGGCAGATGTCGTTGTTTAGTAATTTTGGTTTGTCCCGGTCTGAAGCACCGGGACCAAAGAGGTCATTCTCAACGCCACTGAACAGCCCACTTAGCAATATGGCATCTGCCCCCGCAAAGGAACCTCGCCCGTCACCTTCTGCTGATAACTTGGCGTCGTTGAAAAAGACTGCCATACATGAAAATCCTCTTGACGAGGTTCTCGAGTCTGAGCATCCGTGGACCGTGCGGGATATCGGGATAAATGCTATATCGGTAAGAATTTACCTACAGCCAATTCTCGAACAGCACGAATGTACTCTTAAGCACAGCCGTGTTACTTCACAAGGGTATCATCAACGATCCACACGAGCAAGCAAAATCAGGACAAAAGCCATTAAAAGGCATGGATAGCATAGTCCCCGTTACGCCTGCAGTAATACGGAAGGTGCAAACTTCCGAGTTCGACCCTTACATCAAGTCGCTTGCGGACGTGTTCGGGAAGTATCAACTAAACCGAGCTGTGGGATTGGCCACAGCAACGGAGGGTATGCCCATGTTAGGCAGCGTAGACCAGCCGTCACCGTCCTTCGCCAACCTCGAAGAATTGACGTCGCGACTGGGCGTGGCGGGAACCGAGAAACGAGGGTCATCCGGACTATCTGCAAACCAAAAGAACAGGCTACGAAATGCAAATGTTGTTTCCCTTGACACTGTTCCCTCTATATTTCTAGAGCCCGAATTCAACCTGAGCAATCCGCACACTTTTGCCACTGTTTGTGAGAACGTCGATATCACGTCCGCAACCAGCTCTGAGTCGACTACAACCAATGGAATTTTGCAAGAGAAGTTGTCACATTATCTGGATACCGTGGAAGTGCACCTAATTAGGGAGATTTCGCGACGATCATCCTCGTTCTTTGCGGCACTAGCAAACCTTCAAGCCCTCCATCATGAGACGCAGTCGTGCGTAGCGCAAATCAAAGGTCTTCGGGAGAAATTGGCCGGAGTATCGCGGACGACGACAAAGAAAGGGTTAGAAGTGGTGCGCTTGAAACGAAGAAGAGGCAATCTTGGGGTGCTATACGGGGGAGTGAAGCTGGTAGCGGAGATACGGCAATCGCAACCGATGATACAAAGCTTGTTGGATCATGGTGACTTTGTAGCGGCACTGGATATGGTTGAGCATGCCAGTTTGGTGCTGCGGGGGCTTGATGTGCACGGAAAAGCTTCTAACGCCACTCAAGAACAATCTGCACTCACCCACGGCGTCAGATTGGTGCGTAGTACTTCAATAGTGTCGCAGGCTCTGGACCTCAGACGGGTCAAAGCCCTGGCCAGTTTTAGTGCTCAGCTAGGACACCTTGCACGAACGATTGGTACGATGATGGAAAATGAGCTGGCAAAAGTGATTTTGGCGGACGTCCAGGAGACTGTGGCCACCATGGACGCCTCAAAAATTTCACCGGGAATCAAAAAAGCACCGGCATCGAACTGGGTTCATAATATGCTCAACAACAAGTACTCCTTTAATGTATCCTCCCCTGTAACACCATCATTTGACCAAAGTCTAACTGTGGACGAAGAACGATTGAAAAGTCGCTTGCTACCACTGGTACTTGGACTCTTGCGAATGGACAGGCTCGGAAGCGCACTGCAGCTGTACAAAGACGCTCTCTTGAAAGAGGTGAAGACCATGTCCAAGAAGGTAAAGATTGAACGCCGTTGGCTTTGATGACTATAGGTGTCAGGGTGATTTATCAAGATCTTTGAATGTTCACAGTACTATCCCCCTGTGTTGGCGCTTGATTCAATCTCAGGCTTGTCGCCCATGGCTTCATCTCCTATGACTCCAAACACCGAAAACAGTCAACAGCAAAGGTACAGCTGTTCCGCGCCTTAACTCCAACAGCAAAATACTTATTCTATTGTTCAGCCCACTGGCACGGCAGCTTCGCTCGATGACTTTCGATGCATTTTTTGACCTTCTCCTTATGGTATATGTCACCCTCCTGCACGTCTTACAGCGAGTCGCGATTGTCCACCAAATCATCGTAGTAATAGTAAAGGAAGCGCAAGAGCGTGGGGTAGTGATAGGTGCCGATAGCGGGAAACTGCTCGAAACAAGTCCTTCAGAGTCCGTTTCTGATCATCCAAATAAATTGAAAAAGAAATTGAGTGAGGAGGAGGACGAGTTCGGATCCACGGCAACCTTAGATATTCAGAACGAAATGCTGATGGGTCCGTCGCCTGGCGAGAAGCAGAGCACCTCCTCAGCGGATGCTGGTGACGATGGGTCGAGTGCATCATCTACCTACGGGCAAATGATTTCCGAGTCATCCGACGTCCTTTTCTCGGCATCCGATTTGGCACATGTCCGGTGCGCCAAGCTAATAGGGGTACGTTCCGAGCAAAACGCCCAGCTCAACCCTACCGATTTCTTTCGCCTATTCGGAGCGACGTGGGAGTTCGTGGGAGGAGGGGAGGCCCTTTGCGGGCGAATGTGCTTTGGTTTAAAAGGGACGCTCCTATCTCAGGTAAGCTACTCCCTCGATTTCAGACGGTATGTTTGGAATGTTGCTCACTCTTCGACTTCCATAGGCGAAAGCTTTCATAAATCGCTTTCATGAAGAAAAGGCAAAGCAAGTAGCTCATATAGTCGAAAATGAGCAGTGGGCACAAGCGGAGGTGCCTGAAGACTTTCAGCATCTTGTTGAGCAGTTTTTTGCCGTTAGCGTTCCGTCGTCGCCTGATAAGCATAGTTCCAGCGAAGAGTCCTTGGAGCGTCAAGAGTATGAAGATGATGGTGACATTGGGGCTCTCCGTGGCAGTGTTACGTCACCGCGGTCCTCATTGGTGGGGATGAATGCATCGTCAGGCGGAAGAAGCCAGCGATATCTCGTCATCGACGGACAGAAATATAATGTCGTCGCATGCGTCCTGCTATTTTTGAAGATGCTGACGGAATACGTTCAGTGTATGGAAAATATTCCCGCTTTGACAACAGATGTCCTCAATAGAATAGCTGATATCTTGAAGGTGAGAGGAAGAGACCGAGGCATTTCATTTCATGCGTTTAGCAATCAATTAATCTATTTTCTTTGCTGCAGCTTTTCAATTCACGGACATGTCAGGTAATCTTGGGAGCAGGAGCAATGCGATCTGCCGGTCTGAAGAATATATCAGCCAAGCATATAGGTAAGGAAATAGTACGGGCGAGGGACGCTTGGAGATCTTCCACTAATCGGGCGAACCGCACCCAGCTTTGGCAGCTCAGTCTTTAGGGGTTGTTATTGCCGTAATTCCCCACATAAAGGAGAGAATTCAAAGCCACTTGCCTCCGAAGCAGCAGATCCTACTGGGGGACTTTGACCGACTACTACGCGTATGGATACCTGTATCATATGTTTTGAGACGTTCGTCCTAAGAACCCCTATTTATTTCCAGGACTACAAAGATCATCAAAGCGAATTATACGCCAAGCTCCTGTCGATAATGGAGGACTTTTGCCTTGCTCAGACCGATCGGCTGAAGGTAAAAAGTTTTGGTTGCCAGATCACGGTCTCGGTCTGCTAAGACCCATTCTCTGTACAGGCCATAAATTGGGATAATCCCGAGCCTGCTCAGTTTTCTTCAGAGGAATCCGCAACTGTGTACATGCACGATATCGTTAAGCAAACTGTCACGCTCCATAAGGTTTTGACAAGATATCTGCCTCTAGACACTATGCGGGTAAGGCACGTTTGACGTTGTTTGGGATCCGTTTCGTAAAGCTAAATTTTTGCGTTGGATGCATCCAAGGCGGTGATGACAGATGTATTTAAAAGTTACAATCGATGTCTGGGTGATAAACTTAAAGATATAGATCTGTTTACTGGAGCTGGGAAGAATCGGTATTGTATCTAATGCATGGATGCTCATGCGTACCATCCTTGTCTCATCATTTCATTCATTTGTAGATTACTGATCGATGCACAGTACCTAATACATAAACTATCTGCGCTGGACGGGGTTGATGGACCAGGGAATCATCTCGAGGTAGTAGTCAACAACATCAAGATTAAAGATCGCCGCCAGTCGATGGCGGCGGTCAGCACCACTGGACGAGCTGCATCATCGGATGGTGGCCCAGGACGACCCGCCGGGACCAGTGCAACACCGCCTCCGCCACCTGCTGGTAATGCTGCCGCGGCTGCGGCTGGTGCACAACGAAAATCCAACTTCGCCTCTGCCTTTGGAAATATGCTAAAGACCAAGAATGCCAATTTACCAGGAGGAGGTTAATATAAAAACTTGTAATAATGTCACAGTTTTTGATTGTCACGCATATAATTATTAGTCGTCAATGCCTCCACCATTTCGGCTATACTAGCATATTGGTTATTCTACGAACCTACACAATCTTGCACTACTACAGTCTACAGCCGCCGTGATCATCGCGAACGCCAAAACCAGAGCCTATGCTCATTCCTATTGTTTATCTTTGGCAAATTTGCGATAAATGGTTTCCTGTTTGCCTTCGTGCTTTGCAGCATATCGTGCTGCTGTGAACAAAAAGTCGCTCAACCTAGCGTCAACGTGAGGTAAGCCAATCAACGGCCATCGCTATGAAAGTCAGATATTTGCCTCGATATACCTGTTGAGATACTTTTGTGTACTCTCATCTGCCAAACCGTCTTGAACGATCGGAACAACTCTTCGCTCAGCGCGTCGACAGACGCTGCGAGCAACGTGTAATGTTGACGCCGATCTTCCGCCAGACTACATAAAGAAATGAGTTTGCAGAATAAAAAACAAAAACAAGGAGATATTTACCGGCAAAATAAAATTTCTTAGTGGGGGAAGACTTTCATCGAGCTCATCAATCCAGCTTTCAAGCTCTTGGACTAGGAATCCGTCTGGGTCGAACTGCGTCCGTGCTGGGTTGATGTGTGGCACCAATAAGCACCGCAAAGATATGTCGTGACAAGAAATGGCCATTACCAAGCCTCACTTCACTGGCTTTGGCTCTCGGTGTGGCGACGTTGGATCCAATGTCTTGCAGCAGGCATTGGACCTGATGGAATGTAACTACGTCAAAAATAGGTCAGAATATCGTTGATCCTGAAGAGTGCAGACCTTTTGTAGCTTCTCATTCAAGCCGTTTCCTGCTTCTTCCGAATACTCGATCGCTAAGCCCAACAAACTCGACAGTTCGTCGGTAGTTCCAAGAGCCTCGAATACTTGGTCATCTTTGGCGCGTCGCTCGCCCGTAAACAGCGCCGAAGTTCCTATATCCAGGAGAAAGAGGCTTTAGTCCGTTGTTCAAAGTCTCGGTCCCATATTCCAACGGAGCCTGTTCGGTAAGTTATCGACCTTTGTCACCCGTCTTAGTGTAGATCTTGATGCGACGCGTCTCGTCGGCCATTTGTGGGGCTGTTATGTGGAGACCGCAAGAAGGGACGGCAAAGAATCGAGTACGTACAATGTGAGGAAGAAGTGCTAGTCGTCGAGTCAGCAAACTCATGACATCTGGCGTCTGGAAGGCAGGAAAGATCGACGATGCGGATATCGTCATCACGTGGTCGAGCAGTGTCATCCTTGTTGGCATGGTATCCAATGCAACTCGCACGATAAACGCTGAGGGACGATCTTTAGGCACAGCGTGAACAATGTCAAGTTCAAATAACGTCAAAAAACGTAAGCCAGAGCAGAATGACCTTGGTGCAGACAGTGGGAAGCAGGGCAAAATCAAGAAAAGAGTGCGCATTGGGGATGCAGATATAGTAGGAACTGCGTCTGGTGAATATGCAGAGGTCGATGATTCTGAGGATCTGGAGACAGGTACTACTGCTGTTGCGGACCATAAACGATTGTCGTATATCCTAAGATATCACCTGTGATGGTCACTAATAGCCAAGACACGGCGCGGCGCGGTGAAGCTCGACGGCTATGGAAGCGAGTCGGAGTCAGAGGATGACGATGAGGGCTTGGCTGGAGCAAACGGTGGTGACGATGATATGTTTGGCGACTCTTTTCCCACTGGTGAAGATGCGAAGAAAAAGAAGGGGGAAGTAACGTACATGCGAAGTGATGAAATCGAGGGTCAAGAATGGGTTGCAGATAGGGATGACTATAATGAAAGTGGGATCAAAATCACCCCATTTAACATGGAAGAAGAGATGGAGGAAGGGTATGTGGACCGCATTATGTTGGCGTATTTCGGGCGTTGAATGATCTAGGTCGTTCACAGAGGCTTTGATGAAGCCGGGCACTACATCCAGAAAAAGGACGAGCACCGGATGCATGATCGCTGGTTACAGGGAGTGACCAAGGAGGAGATTGAGAAGGTATCTCTGGGATCCTCTAATGCCCATCGCACTTTACTGGCTGACTCGTTCGTCACTAGGCGAAAGCTGCTCATGATCGGCAACAAGACCGAATGAAAGCGCAGAAGGATGCAGAAGATAACGAAATGGCATCAGATAATCCTGATCACATATGGCTTAAAGTTCTCTCTTTGATACAACCTGGCGAGTCTATCCCTCGTGTAAGTCCATACCAACCTGTCGTGATATTTTAGTACCACTCACTTTTAGATCAGGCTCTGCGACGTTTGGCAGGAAATAAGCCAAAGGTGCCTCGAAATAAATGGAAAAAGAATAAAAAATCAACAGATGAGGCCACGACTCCAGTAGAGGAGGTTAGAACTTGCAGACAACCAGAATTAATGAAACTGCTAGCTCACTATTCCTAATCCAGGATCCTCAAGCTGAAGAACGGAAGAAGGACCTTGATCATTTGACCACTTACGCGAACCAGTTATTGACTGTCGGGGCATTAGGTATTTGTGCATCTCTTCATGTGTTCGACCTGAAACTCATACCTGGACGTTCGCAGACGCTTATGATTTGACATACGAGCAAGTAGTGAGAAAATTGCGAAGCGCAGACTTGTTAGCCGATGATTGGCAGCCTGGCGATCCTTTGTAAGATAATATCTCTGGCAAGGCCGTGTAAATAAGAAATATTTTATTTGTATCGAGATGATTCTTGAGGATGCCCAATTATTATAGATGTAAATGGCGTCTGCATGGGACGAGGATACGAGGAGGTTGGTCTATGGTACAGGGAGGAAGTGTTCCGAAATTGCATTGGTGAATCACAGCTAGCGTCGTTCCGCTCTAGGACCAACAAATTTCTCCATGCACTTTTTGTATGCCGCAAGTTGCTCAGAGCATTCTGTTACAGCTTTTCTCGCCACATCTTTATCCTATCCACAACAATTTAGTTGAACATCGCGGCTAGATCTGGGTTAGGCAATGCCTTTCCTTTCATACCCCGTTTGGCAGTGATGCCCTCTCGTAGCAAGAAAAGAATGTATCCGCAACGTCAGCGCATTTCCTTAGCTTGAGGGGAAAGTATGGAGGCAAGAGCGGCTCTTCCAAACTCGACATGCTGTTGCAAAAGGACGAGCAAAAGAAACGAAATCCTTCAACCTTCCGACTGTCCAAAGCCTGAATGGCTTAGTCCGATCTACCACGTGACTTTGCTGTTGGGAATATCAAAGGCGAATCGTTGCATCCACCACTTGCTCCTTCCTTTGGCCGTGTTTGAACGCTTGGTAGGTATCAGGAATTGGAAGGATAAAGAGTGGACGATGAGGAAATTCATCGATCTGACGGGGGGAACGTACGAAGGAAGGATGGATGGATAGATGGATGGATGATTTCGATGGGTGAGACTGGCATGTCGAAATTGCGGTGCTGTGGAGAACGTCATTTGGAATTGGAACTGTGATGGAAATTGGGGAACATCTGGAATATGGACGTAATGGAGAGGAAGGTTTATCTCAGAAAGTTATTGCTGCGGTGGCTGGAGACGGACGATCTCATACTGTCATTCCTCGGGCGATCTCTGACATTATCCGTTTTTTTACTTTTAGTACTGTCGTACCCTCACTTTTTCGACAGTTCTTCAGTTCGAGAGCCCAACTGCAACCATGAGCAAGGTTCCAGCTATCCTCAACGTGACCGAGCAGGAAGTCCAGGCCATGCTGGCTGCCCAGGTGAGGACGATCTCTCATGAATTGGAATATGTACAATCTAAAGACTAACAAGGCTACTTGTAGTCCCACGTCGGCACCAAGAACTTGGACAAGCAGATGGGTCCCTACGTGTGGAAGCGTCGTAATGACGGTATCCACATCATCAACATTGGCAAGACCTGGGAGAAGATTGTCTTTGCTGCCCGTATCATTGCTGCCATTGAGAACCCCGCGGACGTTTGTGTCATTGCGGCCCGTCCCTATGGTCAGCGTGCGGCTTTGAAGTTCGCCCAGTACACTGGTGCCCAGGCTATTGCTGGTCGTTTCACCCCCGGTACTTTCACCAATTACATTACCCGTACTTTCCGTGAACCCCGTGTGCTTCTTATTACCGACCCCCGTACCGACCACCAAGCCATCAAGGAAGCGTCCTACGTCAACATCCCCGTAATTGCTTTCTGTGACACTGACTCTCCTCTTCGCCATGTCGATGTTGCCATCCCCACTAACAACAAGGCGAAACACGCCATCGGTCTCGCTTACTGGCTTCTTGCCCGTGAGGTCCTTCGCCTCCGTGGCACCATTGCGCGTACTTCTCCTTGGGAGGTGATGGTTGACATGTTCTTCTACCGTGACCCTGAAGAACAGGAGAAGGAGGCTGAGGCTGCTGCTGCTACCACTGCTGCCGCCGCCCCTGAGAAGCCCTTCGGTGCCGAATACGGCGGTGAGTGGGGAGCTCCCGCCGCTCCCGATGCTGCCCCTGCAAACCTTGAGGTAAATAATTACAAAGTGCCACATTTCTCTAACGATTGGCTAACAACGTTTTTCTACAGTGGGAGGCCAGCGGTACTGGTGTTGCGGATGTTGCTGGTCTCGCCTCTGCTCAGATCGAAAGCGGTGACTGGGGAGCGTCTACCGGCGAATGGGGTGCTGAATAAGTGCCTAACTAGAATGCAAATTGTGTTTACACACATGTTTATATGTGCAAATATAGCCTGATATATTCACGGCAATATGGCCTGATTATGTCCCTGTCCGATTTGCGCGATCTACTGTGACAATGTCTATTGGATGCGTCTTTTTTGCTGATCTCCAGAATCCACATGGCGATAGTCTCCCCGGTCCCTCCGCTATAGCCGAAGCCCTGTGAGCCACATCTTCTTGCTCTCTTAACCATCTGCTATATTCTAGTGTTGTCATTTTGCGGAAATCTACAGCATCAACTTCAGACGACGTTGCGGAACGATACAAAGCAGTGAAACACCCACATAAGATTGTATGTAGTCGTAAAAGACCACCGAGAAAGCACATGAATGAGATGCATACTATTGAGTGGATGCCCGCAACCGCTCGAAATGCTGCCTCACTCAAGTGGCGAGAGCCTCCTGTCATTTGGGAGTTGGACCGATCAGCGTTGAATGCCTAAAAGTACAAAGAAAAGCAAAGCTTACCGCCAACGACACACATGCCTATCGATATCGCAGCCATGCTTTGGCTGTACAGAAATGTCACTATCATGGTTACAATATAGAGCCTACCTAACCGCAGAATATGAAATCTACTAATGTCGGAAACGACAGAGCTATAATTGAGATACCTATAGTTTCGCTTTCCTATGCACGAGTTGGTGAAGAAACAGTGATGGTCCAAGCGAAGTACGCATTTATCACAATATTTACAATGCAATGATGTTGCATGACTGGGTGGAATACACTTTAGCATCATCTCTTGTAGCGACACAAGCCATAAATTACTTACACGGATGCCCTACATATGAAGCAGTAGAACGCGGTAGATGGAACGTTTTCTGGATCTACCCGTCCTTGTGAATGGATAATTGCGGGATCTGCTGGATTTAGGATCATGAGAGTAATCCCTCCAGCCGTCAAGGTTACCCAGCATACTGCGACCCACACGATGAGCCATGTGCGGAGAGAGCTCAGATGGAATGTATAGAGGATATAGAAGCAGATGGGAGAAAGAAGACCATAGAGGATACCAATCGCCTGTCGAATGCTCCAGGGGCATTGGCAGCCATTCGTGCGTGGTGCCATGGGCTGTAGAAAGTGATTTTTACGAGGATCTACTCTTTGTTACGGAGATCGCGTCGCGAGCACGTTACGTAACCCGACGTGAAAGGCGAGGTTAGGGTTAGGGTTACTACGTGCTCTATCATCCAAATTATGCATTGGACCAGGTTTTATTGGTCATTGATGATGAGGAGATATAGATCAACTAGTACCTAGCGGGCAAAAGCGTATTGGATCACCAGCAAAGATCATGCCTTGCAAAGATGTTGTTTTTGCAGTCATGAGGGTATGTCCCTTCTAGGTGCTATGGCCCCGGCTCTCCATATTCTTGCAGCGGTTCAGAAGACTTGATGTAGCAATTGATACATAAAAGTAATTGAAGGTCTTGTCAGCCAGATGGTCGAGGATTATGATTCACTATTCAGCGATATATCTGATCATTGTCTCCCAATCCAATGTGTTTTTCATGTGGAGGCCATGATCTCATAAGGAAAGTACATAGGAATATGAAGAGCGTCCTTTTCTATCACATCTGGTAAATGCCTGCTTTCACTCAGATGTTACGCAAGTCTCACCACCCAATGTCAATGCAATTTGCTCTTGCTTCTAAGCGATATCTATCTCCTAGCTACAAAACTATAAACGAAACCCAACCACACCGCTCCGCCCTCCAATATCCGGCAAAACCCATCTCCATCCTTTTTCCAAAACATCCTCCTCCTCGGGATGCAAGCAAGTCAACACGACCTTTTTCAGCACCCTGGAGGGAGTTGCCGGTTTTTTCACAGAGAGTTTCCAATCCGGAGTTTCGCAACCAACAACTAAATTATTTACATCCAAATGTACGCCAGACGTTGTATGAGGTCTCACTTTTGTTTTCTTTACCACAACCGATGGCGTCGTCTGCGGCCGCCTGGTAGGCCTCCGAGTCCACTTTGGTGCCTCTAACACCATTGTATGCAGTTCAGGCGGTTTTGCGGGGGGTTTGGTCGTCCTTTTTGGCTGCACATGGTCAGGGGGATCTGGAAGGGGTGGGAGGTAATCTAGACTGGGGGACGATGATGTTAGAAGAAGGTGGTGGGGGTAGATGAGCGGGGATGAATTGGGAGTGAGGTTCAGGGTGGGTAGGATGGTTTGTTGGGTATGTGGCCGAGAGGGTAGCCGGCGATGAGAATCAAAAGGGGTCCAGGGAGCCGGTCTACGTGTATCGTGGATTTCTATAGTGGAGTTTTGAATGTCGTGTTTGGAGGGCGATGCCTCCGTGTGGGATGGGTCTCTGTCAGCAGGTTCAGACTGTTCGGACAGAGACGTTGAAGTCGGGCGAGTGTGTAAAAGGGACGTTGTATTTCCTCGACGTCCTCTGCTACTCGGTCTGGTACTAGTAGGTGTGGAATGCCCGGTTGCAAGCGATAGTCCTGACGAGGTGAGTGAAGAGAAGGACGCAGACGCATTCTCTCCACTCCGCCACTCTTGAGGTTCATCAGCGAATCCAGTATCGGTAGTAGAGGTTGGTAACTCATTCTCAAATATCGGTATGTCGGAGTCGGTCCCGTTTGATAGCAAAGGACTACGTCCGCAAGATTTCTCAGCTTCGCCTTCATTGCCCTCAAACATTCCAGTCGTGAATTCAGTATCAGTGTTTGTTGCAGATGCATCGTACTTGGATGTTGACAGTGCTGGCGAAAGCCGCTTCGCGCTGCACAATTCTTCACCGTCAGAACCTGTTCCAGTATCTATCACGTCTGACGAAAGTGAAACGAGGGGAGAGGATGATAGTTCTGGAATTGGATTTGTGCTGTAGGATGCATTTTCCTCGTTGCCTAATCCTGTTACGGTTTGAAGGCCATGCGTTTGGCCGGATGAAGACGCTTTAGATAAGGACACGGAAGAACCACCTTCCACTGGGCCCTCCGCATCATCAGATTCAATTGTATTTGCAGCGTACTCTCCTTGTTCACTAGCGGGCAAGTAGTTGTTGGAAGAGTTTGAGATGCCGTAGTGCCGTTGAGTTTCAGCGCGGTCATCAGCACCATCTTCATAGTGAATCCGTACACTGTCGCTGCTTATGTAGGGTTGTTCCTCATTTCGCTGTGCCCTTTGTTCCGTATCATGTACCCCGCTGCCATCTGCTCCCGCTAACCCAAACTTTATCTTTGAAAACACTGCGGGATCCGAGCTGAGAATGTCATCACTTGATGCGGACAGGTTATCGTAATGACTGGATGCATCGATCTCAGTAGCATCGGCATCAACCTCTTGTGCGACCGATTCTGGAAGTCTTGCCTTGAATGCTCTCGGCTTCCGAATCATAGGTGTACTTTGTGAAACTGTTTTGCTTGTCCACATCGTTTTGGATACGAGTCCGATTTGGTTGGTACTTTTTGCAATGTTTCTCATCCAGGGGTCGTCGTCCTCTTCGTCACTTGACTGTCCATTCTGGTCTACTTGTGTCGAGCTGGTAGTGCTTTTAGCACCCACCTCGCCTGAAAACCGCATAGGACGGTAGAGTCCCGCTCCACCATTTCCGCCGATACCATGACCTTTAACCCGTGGGATGAGTAGGGGTGGGTCATCTGGGTTGTCATCTCGTTCCTTCTCTGTATCCTGTTGGTCATCGTCATCTTCTGATTCTTCCGCACTATATGCTGGAACAATCACAGCTTCAGTTTTGCGTCTACGAACCGTTCCGTCGCCCCATGTCCAGATATTCTGGAAGGAAGTTCGGGCGGGTGGTGGGAGCTGCCAGGGGTTTGTCATGCTTTACCGGGTCTATAGTAAAGGCTTCTTGGTCGCCAGATAGCAGCTTATGGTGTGACGAATTGGATGATGCTATTAATGGAGACTTGGCAACTGGCTCATGGGTGCAAATATGACAAACTCCTGAGGGTCGTCCGGGTATTTATTTACATTTCTTCAGGGTTCCACCTTGGACATACCACTATTTATATTATACTGTCTCCCAACCTATGCAATAACTCATATAGTTGGGGTTGCCCACTTGGTTTCCGTGACAGTTACGGTCACAGTGACCCTCTTGTCCTCCCCGAGATCCCGTTTCTGTCTTTGGATTTCTTTTAGAGGTGCCAACCCCTTCACTGGCATACACCCATCAAATCCCGGCCCCTTGACAGCACCTCCCCGGACTTCCACGCCCCCAAGGGCAAATACCCCACCAACAACACGAGAATCGCGAACAGTTACGCCCCCCTTTGCCAAGACCGTTCCAAAAAAGTCGATACTGTCTAGTACCACATGCTCTGCTTCGAAAAAGTTCCATAGGACTTTATGTGGATAAGTGACCATACTTGTATCCAGATCTCTCAATTCAATCGTTCCGGTCCCAAAGACATTGACCAAGAGTGTTGAGCCTGGGTTCAGCTTTTGGTTTGCAGGTCCTCCGGGAAGTGACATGCCGATCAGGCGGACCTGGCCGAGTGCTCCGCCATCAATGTACGCAACTTGGGTCATACTGCTCCCCACAACAGATGACGATAACTTGAACACCAATTTGGGGGGTGCAGCTCGGTGCAACGCAACAGATATTGTTGGTTCCAAGTCACTCACGCCGTCCACCAGAACTTTCAAATCCCCTTCCAAAGACCCAAATCCATAGTCAGGCACCAGGACTCCACATCCCCTGCCCTCCAACACACTCAAGCTCTCCTCGTCCACATCCTTGTCCTCCTTTACCCCAATATTTCCACTGATAATCTCGCTTGCTACCACACGCACTGAAGACCCGCTGAGAGCAGCGTAGGGGAACAAGTGTGCGGCATTGAGCAGAGGACAAGACTGTGGGGCGGAGAAGGTGGATCTTCCAATGGTGGAGTTTTCAATTGTTAATGACCCTTTAATGGAAGCCGCTCGTCCTGTACATATTATTAACAAAATGTAAAACAAATGTCAAAAAGGACAAGTACTCACCATACACTTGAGAATCAACAACCACCACATCATTCCCGGCAACTCCAAACACCGATACAAAGTTTCCCAAAGGTGGCTGCGAGCATCCTGCCGCCCCCGCTTCCCTAATAATCGGCACTGTACACAAGACATTTCAGTCACCACTCTCAACGGCATGGCCGTATACCACAACATACCAGGTGCTCTCCTCTGCCTCTGTACACCTTCCTGTGCTATCCACCGCCTCGCAACCCCCCATCTCTCCAAGGTATCCGGAAATAGGTTGGATACGAGACTAAAGAGGCTGACAAAGACGGCGAGGGCTGTATAGACGGTGTAACTCATATTGAAACTGGAAATCAAGAAAGCCTTTTGCAAAACGCTCTCGTCCTGCAAGTCCGACCGGCTTACGCGAGCGTGTTTACACGTGATTTGGTTTTTGTTTGTGTAAATCCTTCGGGCCAAAAAAGCGTTTCCATTGTCGCAATGTTTAACAATCGGACCAAGCAGCGAATAACGGTTGGACTCATCGTTTCGGTTGCGCTGTTGTCGATCTTTACTGTCGCCTATCCTACCACTGGAATGGGACGACGAAAGAGGAGCAGAGAGGTTGGAGGGCCATCTTACAATCGACGCGATGGACCGACTTGATGGTCAATAGTTGGTCAACCTGCGAACGAAATGGGGAGCGTCGCGATGTTATGAAGTTCAAGGTTACCTTGCCGATCCTCCCATGGGACTAGACAACGCTAGTAACGACAAGCCGGTGAACAGTTTGGAAGAACAAACTTCACCGTTTGGGGGACGCAGTCAGGTCGGGTAGAGCTAGTCGTCGAGTCACCGTATCGGTGCGCTGCCGAGGGGGATCGACGAAGAGTAAAAGCGACGGTGGAGAGGAAATAGGGAGGACACGACATCCGCGCAGTCAATGTACAAACAGACACTACCTTTTCACGTACGAAAGAAAAACAGCCGAACTCATCCTATTCACCACGGCTTAACCCACGGTGTATTACCTCAACTTGCTTCCAGGAGTCGGCACACCGGATACCTAGAGATACCCTACTTGTATATATCCCGCTCGTAATTTAATGCAACATAGAATACTGATATAGAATCACATTTGGGATAGATAGTCATAAGAAGGAAATATGTACACAAAATATATACAGCAGGAAGATGCATTAGTTCCATTATCCATCTGGAGGGCTTGGAGGGCTTGGAGGTTGATCCTGAGCCGGTGGAGTAGGTTCTCGCTCATTGCTTACGGACGCAGGGAGCCTCATGAGCGTCCAGTGTACCGTTCGCGAATAACTAATGGGCGGTCAATATATACCCTAATCAACAGAAAAACATAAGAGAACCTACCCATCCTCAAAGACAACTCGACAGCTAGTCGCCAAAGAAATTGAGAAATCAATGTCCCCATACAAACCAGCGAAATTGCCACAGCTCACCTCTGTTTCTCACAGAAAATCTCACGAACCCAACCAAAATGCCATCCCGCATCCCTGACCGACGACGATTGAGCACCATACCAGCGGACACGTCCCCAATTCGCAGAACTTTAAAACTCACACTTTCGCTTCTACACCTACACCCACACTAAATATCGCTGGAGCCTCCTCCACCAACTTTTCCCGTTCAAGTCGTTTTTCACTTTGCTTAATGGGATCGTGTTGCGAGCTTCCAAGCATACCGGGATCAGCATGACAAAAGAGAGAAGTGACCAAAGACACATGACAGCATACCAATAGCAAACCCAATTATCTCCATCTTGCATCAAAGTCAGGCCCGCCACATCCGCACATGAGACGTGATAAGCTCGTACGCATTTTCCCTAGGGTAGATCCGACGTTGATTCATGATCTTGAGGGGTAATATACAAAAGGCGTACCTTGGCGCATTGGATACATGCCCCCATCTTTCCGGGTCTACTCGTCGCGGGCTTACACACGGCGCATTTCTGCATACGAATTTAGTGGACCGTCACTAGTATCTGATCTAATGTGATAGCTCACCAGTCGCCATCGAGCCTTGTCAATCGCATCTACGCCTTTGATGATTTCCTTTTGCGGATCCAGGGGGTGGGGTTCTATCCATGTTTCTACAGCGGATGGGTGAGAAGAGGAGCATAATTGAAGATGCAGAACAAGGTTTTGGAGACGAACCTGGGACGAATAGTGCGCATTGTCTGTGTGCCCATCGGCCCTCTACTTCCGTTGGGAGAAGGTCTCCATCACGAAACGTGCAGAGGACGCACTAAGTGGAAATTGAAAGACGGTACCATGAAGAGCCCTTCTAGGCCATGACACACCACACGGTTCACGACGTACCTTTATCTTGGGTTCAGATACCGACTTCTTTCTCTCCCCGCTAGTCACTTTGGAGTCCGCGTTGGCTTTCGCCTCAGTGCCGTCCTTATCCTTCTTTCGCTTCTTCGGCTTCTTCTCAACATTCACCATCTCCCCAACAGGAGTCTCCCTGACGGCCAACATGTCGACTTCCGTATTTTTCCTCTTCTTCTCCACTTTCTCTACCTTTTCCATCGTTTCCATGACTTCCACCTTTTCCACTCTCTGCTCAACCATAGCATCCTCCGGCGGCTTGATCGACGGTAATTTCAGTTTGATCCGTACAGGAAGACGTGGCGGATCAAACAGCCCTGCCACATCCAGTTTCACACTATCCCCAATACATTCGCAGTACCCCGCTTTTTTGCCGATTTCCACCCAGCTGTCCAGAGCGAAGTTCACTGATTCTGCGCAATTGAAGCCGAGGTTATACCCTTGATGGTAGCCTGTTGCGTAGTAAGAATCTCGTGTCGGATGAAAGATAACTACGATGTACCATACCATACGGAAACGTGATAACAAACTATTTCGTGACGCGTACATACTATAGGTTAATACTAATCGATAGAGGAAATAAGCGACAACAAAATGATCCCCTCCATACCTCCCCAGCTTTTTGCACAACGCGATGTACTGGCACATTTCTCGCCGTCAAGAATTTTGGAGACAAAACACATGTTTTGTGTCGCAGAAATTCCGGGCACTTGTAAGCTTCTTCGCTAAACACACCTGAAAAACAAGGAATAGTTCAGCAACCGTGATGAGTACATGGTTCAATATCTCAGATGATGTGACGTAGCTCACCTCTCGCCACCGTTTCGAAGCGAGCTCGATGAGACGGGGGAATAACGTACCACTGCTTCGGAGCACCCTAATCCACAAATCATGTTAGACCTAATAGTATTTGCCAGATGCAAGTCAAAATGCTTACAAAGTGGATGTAGCTAATCAGAAAAATAGCAATTGTTAATCGTTAGCAACCATCTGAAGTACCTAACAGTATCAAGATCTCCGCTTACTTGATCGAATAGAGATCCATATCTTCCTGTAGATCGAAAATCGTAAAACAGAAGATTCCACATGACCAAACATCAGCGTTCTAACATACCACATGCCACGCAAACGTTGCCTACCAGCGTATATTATTAGTGGCCACTCACGACTGGTCAAAATCTTTGCCCAACATACCTTCCACATCCCAAAGTAGAGGTACGGACTTTAACAGAAGGCGAGGCATAAGCATTGTATTTTTCTAAAAACGTTTCCAACTATTTCCTACCTATTGACGCCAGGTAAAAATACGTTCACCCTCCGCAATAGATTATCCAATCTCGCCAGATTCCAAGAATTTCCTTCTCCAAGTGGATGATCAAACAATGATCCAAGCATATCTGCTCCATAGAGTGGTGCGACATATGTAATATTTCGCCAATAATATCGTTCGAGTTCTTTACAATAGTCATCTGTGAAGCCTTCGGAGACTTCTTTTGTAGAGAAATGAATACGAGACGGTGTATCGACAGGACGCTTGCGTACAGTGGGTTTGGGTTGTGTCGTGGTAATGGTTGGGTCTGTGGGGTCGGTTGGATCGGTCACGGGGGTTTCAAGTGGTGGCGCGGGTGTTAACGTGCTGTTGACAACATTAGCAGAATTTTCATCTGCTCGTATTGCTGACAATGCTTCCTGTCCCTCCGCTTGTTCTGCATTAGCTGAGCTTGACAAAGGTTCCGGAACTACGGCCCGCGCTTCGGAAATGGTGATGTCTGGTGTCTCGGTCTGTTTATCTTTAGCTTCTACGGAAGAAGCTGGTTCCACTGATCCTTCACCTTGTGCCACCTTTCGTATTCGCTTTCTCAGAGCCGGTCTATGTGGATGTACCTGAGGTTTGCCGTCGCTATTGAATTGGGGTGTCTTGTGCCCAGCCGAGTTGGCGAGCTCGTACCAATCCTGGACTAAATTAAACATCATCATACTCTCATGAGTTGCTGTTGCAGATGTTTGAGAGCGTAGAAACCCACCGCTGTAAGTCTTTCTCTGCTCAATGTTCATTTGGAAGTAGGTGCCCACAGGTAAACCACCGCCTGTGACGAATGTCAGAGTACGTCGACCAAATTCAAAGCTAAATAGATTAAAGCGACCGCACCTGTTATCTCCTGAACAATGGGCTTGCGTATTTTCACCTCTGTCAAAGCCGGAGAGATATCCGGCAGACGCTCACTCCATTCCTGTGGAGGTATGATCTTGACGATACCGGCGGCTTTTCCGAATGAGTCTATCGCCCTCATGAAGGCCGCAAAGTCTTTGAACTGCTCGTCTGTGGGCTTAAATACGGGTACGCCGTTGGGTTCGTAATAGTGGTCTGGCAAGACGGGGTTAGGGGCTGGACTTTGCTCTTTCGATGACGTAGAGGGACAAGGATTGGCGGCATTTCCATGTTCTGGGGTGAGATCAATGTGCGGGCTGCTGACAAGGCGGGGTATGGGACTTAATATGGCTTGTGATGTTGCTTGCAGCGTTGGCGTTAACGACGTCGTTGCGTCCATTTTGGACGGATCTGTTCGAGTGAGCCTTTGCAGCCCCTGTGTAGCCATTACTTGTTTGCTTACTTAACCATTCGAATGCATTTCATTAAACTGAATGGAGTCATCCAAAGGGCCTTCGACGAGCGTTTGACGAGATCTCGACTTTCAAGAAACATGTCGACGCCGTACCTTGCAAAACTAAAATCCGTATTTGCATCAGCACATACACGCGAGCTACGCGGGCACAAGCAAAAGGTACTCTCCGTACTGGTTCTACGGGATCGCTTGGACTCACCGATCTGAAAGGTCCTTACCGTAGGATGGAACAATGACGGTCGGAAGCTGGCATCCGGGTCTGCAGACCAAACAGCGCGAGTATACACCAGTGTAGAAAGAACGGTAAGCTTTTGTTTTTGCCAACTCTGATAAGTAAGCAAGTGTACCAAATTTCAATTAGAGTAGCAAAGATGCCATCGAACTCAAGGCGCATACCGGAGACGTCGACCAACTGTGCTGGGATCCAACGCACCCTGATCGTCTTGCAACCGCATCACTGGATAGTTCGATTATGATCTGGGATATCCGAAGTAGGCATCATCACCATCATTAATTGTCCCGGCATGGCTTACCTATGGATCATGTCTCAACAGCAGCCGACAAGACCCGCACACATCCTTATGCCCGCAAAGTCAGTACAACAGGAGAGAACATCAACATCTGTTGGAGTCCTGACGGACGACATATAGCTGTTGGTAACAAGGTAGGCTGGAACCATTATAGCTGTGGGAATCTCATGGTTCTTACAACCCATTATGCTTACAAAGGAAGACATGGTCTCGTTCATCGATCCTCGTGGAGGCGGGGACTCAAAGAGTGAAAAGAAATACATATGGCACACAATCAAAAACGACGTCGAGGTAGGCGGATTTATTAACCTGTCTGGCCGCCCGTACTGTACTCACCGGTTGACTAGATAAACGAAATCAGTTGGAACTACGCTGGGGACTTATTCTTTATGACAACAGGCCAAGGTATGGAGGTGTACCAATTTGACAATGTATAGATTTGTGCTGATTTTTTCGGTTTTACATACAGGAACGGTCAAAGTCTTGGAATTCCCCCAGTTCAAGCCGGTGCTGGACCTGACAGCTCACACCGCAAACATATATTGCGTTGAATTCGATCCAAGGGGAAAGTAAGAATCTATACAGTACCATTGAGCTGAACGGTATCCAAAAAGATGGCATCCTCAAACTTTCCTGGCAGATACTTTGCAACGGGCAGCGCCGATGCTCTCATATGTTTGTGGGATATTGAAGAATTCATTTGCGTAAGAACGTTTGGAAAACTCGAGTAAGTTCCGCTTTTGGTGTGGCTTATCATTTCAGAGATTTATACATGCACATCTTTATGCAGGTGGCCCATCAGAACCATAAGCTTCAGTTACGATGGAGAGCTCATTGCATCAGGGTCCGAGGACCGAATAATAGATATTGTAAGTGTCTTTTTTTGGTAATTGTGTAGCAAGGCAAACGCGATCATGTCCTAATACTGTTCTCTAGTCGGCGGTGGAAACTGGAGAAAGCGTCCATACAATCCAATGCAATGCTGCCATGAACAGTGTTGCATGGCACCCGACCAAGCACATACTTGCATATGCGGGGGACGACGTGGGTGGTAGAGATCATAAAACACCAGAAGGGAATCTGCGCGTATTTGGAGTGTCATCATCGTCAAGTTCATAATAGATGAATGCTTGCATCTTGTTCCTTTTCGATGACGTTTTTCCATTCCCATCATGCAATGACCGTTTAAAATCCCGTAATAAAAAACAAAACAACGAGGGGGAGCTTTTCATCCAATCCGCGCTCCAAGGCTTCCAACGTGTGCCCTGCATCATTTAATTTCCTACGCGCAAGCGCAGTCCATTGCAGGTCCGACGACCTCCCACCGTTTGTCATTTTTTTTACCTTCATCTTGCTGTCACATGTCCACCTACCCCACCATTATACCCAGAAGCCCTCTTGGGCCAAAGGGTACTACCTCACCGTATTATGTTCCTCCGCTGATTGCCCGTACCTCAGACGGCCACATGGAAGAACTAGTCGAAATCTTGTCAGACCGTCGTGGATGTCTCATTATCGGCGCTGGAGTGTCAGTGTCATTAGCAGACAGTGAGGAGAATAAGCGTCTCGTAACATGGAAAGGGTTTTTGGATCGATTAGCACAAACCGTAAAGGACATGCTTGGACTGGAACAATCATGGTATGAGGAGGTGAAAGCCATGTTGGATATTGACCCAGCGAGGCACCGCGAGGGTACTGTGGACAGACAGTATGCTCTTCGACTCGATAAAGCTGCAGAGATGATTGAGCATCACGTCAATACGGGGCATTTGGGAGGAAGTAGTGACCCTTTTATGCGATACCATCATCTTGTCTTCAAGATCCTCCATACCCTCCGGGCTGACCGCTCCTCCCCCATTGCCAGCTTGCTACACAACCTCCGTACTCCCATCTTCACGACAAACTATGATGTTCTTTTAGAGGACGCTACAGGGAGATTCACACTCTCCATTGAAGATTTGTTAAAAGCGCAAAGAGCATATCGTCTCAAATCAGATCAACATCCCCTTGCACAGCACCAGCAATACGTGTTCCATCTTCACGGCATCTTCTATGATGACCCAGAGCGCAAGTTTGTGCTGACAGCGAGAGAGTATGCGATTACGATCGATGATTTTATTATGGCTTTGAAACCTGTTTTGGTGGATGTGGGGAGTAAGGTCAAGACTGGCGGAATGGCTTTTCACAGAAGCATGGTTTTCATTGGGACGGGCGGAACATTGCAGGTATGACCATGCTGGAGACAAGTTATGTGAAGCATTTAGGTGTGTATTGGTAATTAATCGCATCTCGTGCACTCTTCCAGGACATTCATTTTACAAGCCTCTTTGCCGCTCTTTACGAGTAAGTTGGCCATTGTTGTTGTTTGCAATATATGCCGAATCACCCATGTATTTCTCTTCTCTCTCATCATAAAGACACAATGTGTTTCTGGAATCGAACGGATTTGAACGTGTTCTTCACTACGTCCTCCTCAACGAAACCGAAGCTACCCACATCACCGACTTTACGTTTGAAGATTCGCTTGGCCGACGAATCCATGCACATGAGCTCCTCGTCCCCGTAGTGTACGGTAAAACATACGACGATTTACCGAAATTCCTCGCAGTGCTAGCCAAAAAACTCGACGAGGACGAAAAATCCCATTCGAACGCTGACAGCGTCAATGGAGATGACGAGGACTATGCGCCAGCCAGCAAAGATAAAATTTTTGGAACCGGACGAGGGACTGTGGAAAGTGATTCGGATGTCGGTCCGATGAGTCCACCAGATGGATTTGTACCTAGGCCATCTTACCTACGAAAGGTCAAAGGACATGTGAGGCGACGGTCGAGTCTTTCGACAGAATACGTGGATCCGGACTTGCAATCGGTACCAGAGAAAAAGGTTCAAACAAATGGAGCATGAATCCTTTGTGTGGTCTGCTCCTTGTTTTTATTCTCTATGTCAGTCTCTGTCCTAGATCATTAAGCGCCCTTGTATTTATACTTGAATCCCTCCAAGCCTTCCACACCCTCCCTCACCTCCCCCATCGCCCTAATCGCATACCACTGTCCCAGCACCAAGACCAATGGCAAACACCCGACACCGACTCCCGTCCACCCATCCCCTAAATACATCAAGAATGGCGGTATGAGGGCCACCACAAATGGAACATATTTGACCGCGGAGTATGCTAGTGGTTCCGTGACAGGATGACGGAACGACAGGAACGGGGTTGTAAGGCAAATTGCTGCGGAAAGGAGATAGGCTAATCGATATTGAGGAAGCGGGTTCAAGGGGAGCGGTAGTAGTGAAGCTAGGAGGTACCTAACAAGCAAGCTCGCGTGAGCAACGGTACTATTATGCAAACTCAGAGAATACAAATGTACATACAATCCAGAAGCCATAAATGAAACCTTGTAAAAAACATTTTCGTACACTTGTTGGTGATGATCTGCTTCACGCTTTAGTGTTGCGATTATCTCTTCCTGTTCTATGTGACGAGGCGCGTAGGGTTATTGCACACGTCACGCCGTCATGCGAGAGAGTGCACTTTGACATACGCTGTTCGTCAAGGACAATGTTATCGTCTTCTTCTTCCTCGGCATCCTTGGAGGTGAATGGTGTCCGTTTGTGCATGATGCTGGCGACAAAGGAGGAAATGCAAGATGCCTTCGCGAAAGTTTGGTGTGTCATCCATTTGTCGTGGAAGAGGTTCAAATCCCGATCAAGGCATTCTTTCCTTGTTTTCTTTCCTTTTTATTTTTCTTTTGTCCAAATAGATGAAACAATCCACCAGGGCAGAAAACCGCAGGCAACCAACCAACATGCCTCTGTATAAACGTAATTTGCAATTCAAGAACCACCAAATCCTCCAATTGATAGTTCTATATATCATGCATAAAACTAGAATCTATGCTACCACTATCACAACCGATCATCTACACTTCCTCAATCTTCAAACTCTTTTTATATTGGTTCACCACTCCAGCACCATCACCCACCTTCCCTTCAAATCGTGTCAATTTGCCCTGATCGCATACCCAAACTTCATTGCACACGGCATCCAGGAATCGCTCATCGTGGGATACGATCGCGATGCCTCCTTTGAATTCCCGTAACGCAGAGGCAAGAGCATCAATGGAATCCATGTCCAAATGATCTGGTGTGAGTGAGACGCGTTAGATAAATTATTAGTGTAGGGTGAAATTAGAGGTCATTCTTACTGGTCGGTTCATCCAAAACCAGGACATGAGGATTGGTCATAGCCATCCACGCGAAAACGGCTCGACTCTTTTGACCTCCACTGAGGGTCCCAATAGGTTGCAACGCAGTCGTGCCCGTCAAACCAAACCGTCCCAGTACTCGTCGGTAATCCTCTTCTTGCATTCCAGGGAATTTGCTCTGTAAAAATTGCACACTGCTCGCTCCAAGCTCCAATTGATCGACATGGTGTTGACTAAACAAGGCTATTCGTAGTCGGCCATGTCTTGACACCATACCCTTTTGTGGCTCCACTTGCCCTGTCATGAGGCGAATGAGAGTGGATTTACCAGCTCCATTCGGACCGACAACAGCAATCTTTGAATCCATTTGCAAATCAAATGAGACGCCGCTGAGAATAGTTCGCTGTTCGTTGTAACCAAATGTGACTTCTTCCATTCGGAGAATCGGTGGAGACAGCTTTTCTGGATCAGGAAACCGAAAGTAAATGTCCTGTCCTTCCCCAGAAATTCCCTCCATATCATCTTTTGGTGGTGGTTCAAGCGGTGGTAGCTTTTCAAGAATCTTAATCTTTGATTGAGCCTGTGCTGCTCGCTTCGCATTGTACCTCCATCGGTCAATAAACGCTTGCAAATGCTGTCGATACTGTAACTGCGCCTCGTATTCACGCAACTGGTTCTTTCGCCTCTCAGCTTTGGTCCCAACAAATGTAGAGAAATTTCCACGATAATAATCCAGTAAACCATCATGCAAATGCAGGATATCCGTTGATACCGCGTCCAGGAACGATCGATCGTGGGAAACAATCAGTAACGTTGCCTGCCACTTTTGGAAGTATCTTTCCAACCACACCACAGCGGGAAAATCGAGATAATTTGTCACTTCATCGGCAAGCAACAGATCTGGCTTACAAAAGAGAGCTCGCGCCAACGCCAAACGCATCCTCCAACCACCGCTGAACGTTTTTGTCGCCGCCCGTTGCTGTTCAGGCGAAAATCCTAAACCGTTGAGAATGGATGAGGCCTTGGATTCAGCGGTATCCGCGTCAATCTCTTCCAGCCTTTGGTACACCTCCTTTAACCGTTTTGTCATTGTTTCAGCAGCCTCTGGAGTGGTAGTCGACTTTGACAGCGCCGAATTCAACTGCTTCTCCTCCGCCAAAAGCGCTGTTCGCTCCTTATCTGCTTGCAATACAGACGCCAACGCGGGCGTATCGTCACCCGCAATCTCCTGTCCACGTGC